ATGGTTAACACGACGTTAAGCACGTATTGAACGGACTAAGGGTGGTCGTATTAGAGATCGCAGCGAAAGGTGAGATAGACACGCACGGCAGAAATCAGATTACCGCGACGACCGGTGATACCTGCCCCTTGGAAGACATACACGATATAGTACCTGTCGCTCAAAAGTCAGTACAACCCAAGAGACAAAGCAACCCGACGACATACATCATGACGTTCATACCGGACAACTGCGACCACATCTGGAGCGCCATACCCAGCCCCACACGACGCGGCATACCGGGTTTCAACAGGTCGAGATACGACTTTGCACCCTCCGTACGCTCGAAGAGAACTTGCTCCTTGATCTCCTCAAACTCCAAAAGCACTAGCTCAATATTCGGATCCCCGCCCCCATGCAGATCAGCGAGAATCTCCAAAGCCTCCTCCTCCCGCCCATGATCAAACAGCCACCTCGGCGACTCGGGAAATATGAGCATGCCCGCCGAGAGGAATATCGCAGGGATCATCTGCAGCCCCCATGGGATACGGAAGGACGCCACACCGTCAATGTACGAACACCCGAATTGGACAAAGTATTGGATGAGGATGCCCCATGTGATGGACCACTGCTGCAGAGAGACGAGCCGCCCGCGAATGCGCGGCTCGGTGATTTCGGATTGGTAGATGGGCACGACGGCGGAGGCGATCCCGACGGAGATGCCGGAGATGATGCGCCCGACGACGAGCATGCCGCGGTTCTGTAAGAAATCAATCAATCATGGAAGAGGGATAGGAAAGGGGGGTAGCGTACAACGGAGGCGCATTGGAGGATGGAGCCGATGACCCAGATGAGGCCGGAGAGGATGATTGTTTTCTTGCGCCCGATGCGGTCTGCGAGTTGGGTGACCATGAGCGCGCCGACGAGGGAGCCGGCGGGCATTGCTGCGACTATGGCACCCTGCGCATCGGAGCCGGGCTGGAAGGAGACATTCGGTCGGCATTCATACATACAAAGCTAAGGTGATGAACGTACGTGGGAGAATGTGCGCTTGTAGGCTTCGTTCTGCGGACACAAGTCAGGGCGAAATAGAAAGAGAGAAGGGATAAAGTGTCATACACTAAGTACACCAGACATGGACGAGATGTCCAGACCGAAGAGGCCTCCGCCGATACATGCGAACGAACCTACGATGTACTGCGCGACAAGACAGTCAGTTTCCTGATGATAGATAGCGATGGAGATGAACGGCGCACGGGATTTGATGCAATACGGGCGTTGTACTAGAGGGGGAGAGCGTGTGTGTTAGAAACAATGAAACAGCAGATTCCAGTAGGAATAAACGTACTCCTTTCGCCATGATGGCAACGGTTAGGCACTGGAGGATAACCTAAGGAGGGGCCAAGCATAGAGCGCAAGTCTTTTAAAGCAAAACAAGGCGCTGAAGCGTGCCTCATTAAAGAAGTCAAGGTCATGGGGCCCCGCGTTCGTGTGTTGAAAGAGATCACGAGAGTGCACTGGACTTGATGACCCTACATCATCCATGTGCAAACACTCCCCACAGATCGCGTCTGATGCCCTTTCGACTCTGAGGCAACTCTGGAGCCAAAGTGTCTGGATAGGCTCGTCCTGCTGCTCTAGATGAATAGCTTGTCTGGGCGATAACAGAGTAAGACTTCCTACAGACTATACACTCCGCTTCTCCATCATTACTCGCATTCCGTAATCCCGCGACAGGGGCTGCGAATACACGCCACATCGAATGACCGGGCCGGCCAAAGAAATATCGCCTTGGATATAATACCCGCGCGACCTCGAGCTCGGATGATTACCGTCGGCGAACCCAGGAACCACCATAGAAGAAGTTACTCTACCTATGCTTCTTCGCACCTCTGCGTCTGAACTCGTTAAGTACTGTGTTCTGGAAGCTATTTTAGGCACCGAACAAGAGAGAGTGTGCGCATGGTCGGATGTCGGGCCTAGTCAACATGCTCCGACGAGGATCATGGGTTCGACGGGTCGTTTCGCCTGAGAGACTAGATGTTAGTTAAAGTATACTCACTGTGAGGTTACGACACGCGTAAATCACCAAGAATGTGTCCAATGAACAGCCAACCCTCCCCTCCATATCGTATCACTCGTGACCGACATTTCCCCGTTGCGATGTCCACTTGCTGAATGTGAGACGCGAACACATGAGGTTGGCTCCTCTGCATTTTCCAATCAAGGTGTCTCCCTGAGACGTGAATTTCCGTGCACCATGAGGCTTTAGAGTTAATAGACGAGGCATTGGGCATCTGCAGTAGTAGTAGCAGAGTCTTCCATTAACCAGTGTGTGTCTATAGGATACACAGGCGTATACGGCGCTTCATACTGTTCGACCCCGGGAGGATCTACGAGACAATCGTTCAATTCAACAAGCACATGGTGGCGGATCCACATGACGGCTGCGACAATGAAATGGAATCACAAGCTTGACGGTCAAAGGCGGCCGCGACTGTTGAACCTGTCAAAGTGAAGGCCCATCGTCGTGTTACAAGGTAGAAGAACAGCGCGGTCCTCCACTCGCTTTCTTGAACGCTAGAATTTCCTGTGCACTGTCAGGTTCCAACCTTTTGACCCACAGTTCCCTGTCCCAGATGCGCCACGCCACAAAGAACCTGGGTCGATATCACCAAAGACGAGATGTACGCCTTTGATCTGACGCGGTCAATCGTCTTCCTGCAGCACGGGTGGTCTCGAATTTCTAGGAGAAAGCTCATCTTCGGTTCGGTGCTGTCGAAGTCCATGCAGGATGTGCGCATGACCAACGGTACCATATTGTTGTTACTCTCCTGCTCCGTCCACATACGAGGAAGAGCTGCACTTCGTTCATCGAGTCGGAGGCGAGCCTAGAGACCAGTGCGCTTGACTAGATACAGAAACTCGAGCGCGTGGCATTGAGAATGAAGAATGAGTTTTGCAGGGAGCTCCAGCAGGAAGTCGTCTGCGGTGCTGATGAACGGCACGTTGATCTCTGTCGATGATGTTAAGAGACGAAGGCGTGTCAGTATTAGGTTAGCGTGATGGAACGTCACGTTTTTTCGATTGCTGTGTTCATATTCTTGCTCACAACGTCCACACTATGAAACAACCGATGGAATTGAAAAGTCCAAAGATTCCCGAGATGCTAGGGAGAAATTCTGGGTTACACAATATTCATATCTTTTAGACAACGGTTATCGATTGCGTTTTCGGTACCAGCCTGACTGGATCCCGTCTTGGCTTGGGGCAGGACCAGACTGCGCGCTAGATAGCGTTGAGGACTGGCATTGAGTGCATTATCCGTCATCTGAATGAGAAACTCCTGGGGACACTGACAATTTCGACACAGGTCACCAAAGTTCTTGATGTGATTCAGATCAAAGACGGATTTGCAGTCGCGCTGAAGCGTGTCTCACTGGCGACAGAAGAATTATCGATGCTCTGCTTTCTTTCAAAATCTACACAGTCGCCATTGAACCATACTGTGCCGCTACTGCAAGTCCTCCCCGTTCCGGATGATCCCAACACTGTAATCGTTGTCACGCCCAAATTACGCCATTTCGAAACGCCATATTTTCACTGCCGTCGGGAGGTGCTGGAATGTCTGCGTCAAATCGTCGAGGTATGCTCTATCCACTCTTAAGCAGGAGTAAGCCAGCTCACTATCGCTTGTTTAGGGAGTCGGTTTTATGCACAGTCTGAACATATGCCATGGGTAGGCTTTCTTCATATTCCTCAGGAACAGTCACGATTCAGACACTGTTCGTAGAGATGCGTGTACTTACAACTTCATGATGGATGCCACCGACGTATGTCCACAAGGTTTCCACTTTTCGTTCAACTACGAGAGCAGAGACGGCATAGGAAACAATCTCGTTTCAAAGCTTTGATGTCAATGCCAGGCAAAAATACTACATCGTTGACTTCGCGACCTCTCAACACTTTGTGGGTGGGCGCCATGACGCGTTGCGTCCAATCCGCTGCGGAATCACCTCGACGCCCGAGCTGTCTGAAGAGAATTATGATGCCGACACACCCTATAATCCATTCTCACTTGACGTTTATAATATTGGGGCGACATTCCAGTCAATTTGTGACGTGTGTATTCTTTCATTCCTACGCCTCCGCGCTTACCTTCCGGCAGGACTATTTCGAACAAATGGATGATCTACGACCATTTCTGGCTCGGTCGATGGAGAAGGAACCTTCAGCCCCGGCCGACGCTGGACGATGCCATGACCGAGCTGTTGACATTCATCGCATCGCGTATCGAAGACTGGCTTGACGCTGCAATCATATCATCCTATCCCTGACCATCCACCGGTCTGTGTTACTACCGCTTCTAAAAAATCCATGTACTTCGCAGAAGGGCTTTTTGACGCTCCCGTACAGCAAGATTTAAAGTTGTCAACACCGACAAGATGAAATTGTTCGAAAAGGACACTAGCATGACATTCCAGAAGATCGTTAAGCTTGAATCAAACCAAGTGTACTCGAGCAATGCCGACTTTCTACGCGAAAGAGACCACCACTTCCAATATGTCACGATCAATATCACAGCCCGGCATTCGTCCCCGCCACCATGGGCCATCAGGTCGTACTGCGAGGTCGCGTACAAGGCTCTAGAGACGGGACGTTACGACCACCTCCTGCAGCTGAATGATCTGCACGTCTGTCCGCCACGTTTATTGATAGCTTGTTGGTGTTAGGATGAGCGGAGGAGGCGTTGGGCGATTAGAAGAAAAACTTGAACAGCGAAGACAACGATATACCCTGGTCGTGCTGGTCGCCGGCCCACTAGGAGAACTCATTGATTACCGCCAAGTCCCCGTACTGCCGACTACTGAGCACTCACTAAATTAAAATGGAATGAGATAGACATGCTGAGGATTGATGCTGATGCGCTCGCTGGGGAACTGTTATTGCCTAAGTCCTTTGGGAGAGGAATGGACCCATTCCTTTTAAGCTATAAACTACTTGTACATTCTCTGGCTCCATCTCTGGTAGTATATCGGTTAGTACACGCGCCTGTCATCTGGTCAGACATTCATATTGTGAGCGCCTGAAAGCTGGGTTCGACTCCCAGCCAGAGAGCTAGTCACTTTGAGATGTTAATATCCGATGGGCCACTTGAAAATCGACATTTTTTTTCATTTTGCAGTTATCACCTCGTGAGTTTTGTCGATCCACAAGGTGTATCCAACGGACATCATCGCGTTTGTTCTTCTGGAGGTATAGAGTATGCACATTCAGTATGAGGTTGCGTCCCAGGGATATAAATATGGCTTTTGTTACTTGCTCAGATATAAAAGCCATACAAGCGAGCAAGATACGGGCTATATCCTAGACGAGTCATCGCTTTCTCCAAGCTCTGGCAAACGCCCCTCGCCCAACTCTGCCATGGCCGCCTCCACTCTACCCTCATCCTCAGCACGCGCCATCATCTTCTTCTGCCTTATCCTCTTGACCACGCCGACCTCAATCGGCTCCCACTCCTCCTCCCTCGCGCCCTTGCCATCCGGCAACACATTCCTCGAATACTCCACCTCGACATCCCTCCTCCCACCCTCTACCAACCTCCTCGCATCCTGCGTAGACCGCATAACAATATACCCCGTCCCCGGCACCTTGAGAGACTTTGCATAAAGCACACTGCCGTCCTGCGGTAACGCTTGGGTCAGCGCGTCCATAGATTCATGCCAATTGCGAAACACCAGCCGCCGATTCGGCGTCAAATCCCGCTCCCTCGGCTTCTGCGCGGCGGCCTGGTAGTCGATGAAAAGCCGGTGCTGGCTGCGCGGGTCAAAGGAGGAGGGGAGATGGAGGATGAGCTTGTTGCGCTCGAAGCGCTGGCGGTTGGCGGGGAGGTGCGTCGGGTCGGAGGGAGCGGGGACGAGCTCGAGTGTCGTGCCGTGCATCTGGGCGCTCTGGTAGAGGCGCCGAGAGTCGGCAAAGTTGAGGAATTGGACGTGCGCGAAGCCGGGTTTGGTGGGGGAGGAGGAGGGGATGAGAGAGAGGCGCCGGATGGGGCCGTAGGAGGAGGTCCATGCGCGGAGGAGGATGTTGAGAGGGTGGGTGGAGGAGGGGGGGACGAAGGGGATGGAGCCGATGAAGAGGGTATCGGTGGGGAGCGAGGCGGGGCGGATTTGTTTGACGTGGGGGCGCGAGTAGTCTACGCTGAGCGGCTCGCCGTCGAGGGAGAGGGAGTTTTGCTGGTGTTCCATTAGAGCGGCAGTAGCTGCTGCTACGGATTCGAATTCGAGAAAGAGAAAGTCGTGGCTGAGGTTATTTCGGAATGCTGTCATGAGTTTAGAGCTATCCTTGTCTCCGGATTGGAAACGCACCTTTTCTTGCAGAGACTATTCCTTTGAGATTTTGGAAAGCAGGCGACGCGAGAACCTCGTCCGAAGTAGCATGCTTGGGGATGCCGCGGACGTGTAGGATGTTGCTCTCCTCTGAGCCGGACGCCACATCGCTGGAAAAGACGCGTCCCATCAAGCACCGCCTACCCGTCCGACGTACTATCGCTGCCAACATGATGATTTGAAGCAAGCCGGTCCGAGCCTGCCGGACAGGATATACATGCACAAACACCGCGCACGTTTTTACGTCCGCCCTCCACGACCATGAACGCCCTCACGCCTTACGTCGACGCCGCCAAACCCTACGTGGACCTCACACAGCCGTCCTTCTGGCTCAGCATCGCCTCCATAACGTTCAACCCCACAGCATGGAACATCGTAGCCCGCAATGGTGTGTCCCATCCAATATATCTTATCGCCTTTCTTATTCGCCTTAGAATACCATAACAAAACCATAACCCGCGTCTTTGGCTCTCCAAAAGCCGGATGCTACTTTCTCGCGTTCATGATATTCTCATTCGGGATGCTCCGCGATCACCTCTTCAACGCCGCGCTCGCAGGGCAGCCCACGTCTCTCCCCGCGCTCGCAAAGCCCTTTGACACGTACCTGCCCATTGCACTCGTCGCGGCCGGCCAGATTCTGGTCGTTAGCTCGACGTGGGCGCTCGGCGTCACGGGGACGTTTCTCGGAGACTACTTTGGTATCCTCATGGACGCGCGCGTCGACGGGTGCGTACCCTCTCTCTCTCTCGCCTTTTCAAAGACTGACTAGCGTATAGATTCCCTTTCAACATCTTGACCAACCCCATGTACGTCGGATCCACCATGTGTTTTCTTGGCGTTTCCCTATGGTTCCAATCCATCGCTGGGCTCGTGATTACGTTCTATGTCTACGTCGTTTATGTCGTGGCCTTGCGGTTTGAGGGTCCGTTTACGGATATGATCTATGCAAAGAGGGAGGAAGCGCGCGCGGCGAAGAAGGAGTAGAGTTTAGAGGGTCGCTAAAATTTACTGATGCTTACGATCTTTTATGTCTGGTAGAATAGAGTACACTCTACCTTCTTAATCTTGACGCGACTAGCTTGAGCGCACCACGTCTGTAGATGATATGTAACAGTAGAGCCTTCCCCAAAATGGAGTGACGCAGCTCGAGGCTCACTGCCACAATAGTGTGGCGCCCTCAAATTTCAATGGTATTGATACCTCTACTCTGGTTGGCCGCAGTGTTCAAAAAAAGGCGCCACATCACACGTGACGGTATCGAAACCGCGTTTCAAAACTTAGACTTGGGTAGACACGGAAATTGTTTCAACGAATGCCATGACACGGGCCTGATAAGTATAAGCACCGCGCATATTTCGCCTTGTTGTATGAGATTCGGTGGATTGATTGATTACAGTGGGAGGGGCTTCTCTGCGAAGACACTGAGTTCTCTGCAACTTGGAAACGAACAAGTCGGTATGGAAGGTCTGGAAACATTCGAATTGCGCTCATCATCGGGTTCAAAACCTGAACTTCACTTGGAATAGGGGCCTCTTGAACAGGTGTGCATAAATGATATATACGGGATGCCGCCCAATCTCTCTGGGAAGAATGCCGCACTCTCTCTCTGGCTGGAGTCGAACCCAGCTTTCGCGCGCTCACACATGGGAGCCCAATGACAGGCGCGTGTACTAACCGATATACTACCAGAGATTATGTTCAGCGTGGCCAATGGTATACAAGTTAATTGGGTGAAGACTCAGTGCAATGTCGTTCATCGACTGCTGCGTCCTTCACTATACTATCATTGTTATCTCATCACTGTGCCATGAGGGGTTTTTTGCAAGGTGGTCAGTCAACCAGGTACTCAGGGACAGCCTCAAAGTGTTTACGGATACAAGAGGAGGGAGGATCTACGGTTGAATGAAGTATTCATACACTACCTTCTAAATCTTGATGCTATGAGTGGATCATACCAACAAATGCTCAGTGATCAGTCAGGCTAGAAGGAGTGTTTACAACTATAACCACATTCACACCGGGTCAGACCGTGCACACTCACACTCGGGGGGTGCACACACACACCCGGGCGCATTCCCGCGCGATGAAAATGCCAAAATTGGTAATTGATCTGTGGCGCCGGTTAAGGGTATAGTGACGGCCAAAATATAGCGACCGTGGAAGGATTTTGTTATCGAGACAAATTGACAGCTCGTGACCAGTAGGATCAGTAGCAGTAGTATACCTTCAATATCAAGTATTTTGTCTGTGGTCAAATGCGAGGCATGAAGACTTGACTTGTGGAGATATCATCCAAGTTCGGCCATCAGCCATAAAAGGAAATATGTAAATGTGTCTGTACCTCGCCTGTACAGAAGCAAAACTCGAATCCATTGCTAGTACTTTGTGTAATACCCCTTTGCCTTCACTAGTGCCTGTACCCTTCGAGGTATACTAGCATACAACCTGTCACAGTAGTTCAAACTCAATGCAGCCCACTCCTCCTGCAAAACTGCAAAGAGTGTTAGCGACTGACTAAGCCACAAGACTCAACCAGGTACCACAGCAAGAACTAAGGAAGAAAGTGTTTGCGTTCGTAAGACTAGGCTAGGCCAGGTGTATAAATGAGATCGGAACTAAAGTACAATGATGCTACACTACTGCTTATATACTAGTGAGTCTGTGTTTGGGACTCCTTGTCCATACGTGTTTCCGCTAGGGTTAACTCCACACCCTTGACCCAGTGTTGTATGCTGCTAGCCCGTGAAACCATTAAATACAAGTGGTAACTGCATGTAAGTAATAATACTGAAACAACCATATGTGCTACGAGTGTCGGTGCTGTGTATACAATAGGAAGTCCATGAGGTATCAGCATGTATGATGTCATCCATGTGTTGGGCGTGTGTCCGACATGAGTACGGCTTTGGTAATGAAAAGAAGTATGATCGGTAACGAAACAGATGATGAAACAGTCCGTTGGTTGATAAGACACGGCCCCCGATAAGATATGATAAGATGTGAAAGTGTGAAAATATGGCAATTCATAACATCACCCCCTCCTTAAGGCGCAAGTTCCATTCTGCGCCAGATTTGCTCCATGAGGGCCGCAGAGGGTAGCGTGACATCAAGGGGTTTGGTGTCAGGTGGTGGCATGGGTCGAAATAGATGTGATGGAAATTGCGACATGGGGACTTCAATGCGAGCAAGCGCGGGTGGCTTCGGCTTGTTCGGATATTGTTGGTGGAAATCGCTGATGGCTTCGTCGGCATTTTTGAGATTGCATGCCAGTTCCCATGTCTGCTTGTGTGTGCCATAACCCTTCCAGTGAACCTTGTATTGAAAACCCCCGCGGTACTTCCGGGAATTAACCACTTTCTCAACCTCCCATTCCGGTTCGGCTCCTTCCAGCACAGGTGGTGGACGCGTGTCTCGGGTTGCGTCGGAAATTGGGCTCGTGGTAAGGCGTCAACAGGGCCTCATTGAACACGGGATGGATGCTTTTCCATGTGTGAGGAATCTGGAGCTTGTAAGAGCTCGTCCCGACTTTCTTGATCACTTTGAACGGCCCGAAGCGTTTGTCATCAAGCTTCTTCATTGGTCGGTCCGTGCTGAGATTTGTCCCTTCCAGCCATACTTTGTTGCCCTCCTTGTACTCTACTGCGTCTGTCCGCTTCCTGTCATAAAACCGTTTCATATCCTCCTTTGCCATCTTCAATGCTGACCCTACTTGTCCCATGTTTTCCTCATGCCGTCGGCAAACTCCTGTGCAGTCTCGTTTCTCGATGCCGTTTTTGGAGCGGTGCCTTTGTAGGGGTGTCTGCCCATGTCTGCGAAGAATGGAGTGACTTTGGTCGCCAAGTGAACTCGATTGTTGTAAACAAATTCAGCAGAGGGTAGCCATTCGTGCCAGTTGTTCTGATGGTAGTTGACAAATAACCGTAAGAAATGCTCTATCTCTTGATTCAGCCGTTCCGTCTGCCCATTTGCCTGTGGATGATACGCCGTTGTAAAGTTTCCTTGTATGCCCAACAACCAGTACAACTCCTTCATGAAACATGAGTGGTATTGTGGACCGCAATCATGTATCATCTGTCGTGGCATCCCATGTATGGGGAAAATGCAATCACGGTAAATGCGGGCCATGCCTTCCAACGTCAGAGTGGTGTGTGTCGGTATGATGCGTAATCGCTTTGTGAAATGGTCCACAAACGTGCTGATCGCTTGTATCCTCCTGATTCCGGCAGTTCTCCAATCATGTCCGTCCCTACTATCTCCCATGGCTCGCTTGGCACATTAATAGGATGAAGAGGTGCAGCCGGCTTCGTGTGATGTGACTTTGTGACCTAGCATTTTTGACACCCTTCTACGTATTCACGGACGTCTCGGCTGATTCCTGGCCACCAATAGGTACGTGTGATCAGCTCGAGGGTCTTGTACCGTCCCGGATGCCCTGCAAGCTGTGCATCATAGTGCATTCCAATAACTCTTCCCCGCAATTCCTTGTCCTTCGGTATGTAAATACGATCTTTCCACATAATAAGTCCATTTTCCTTCTCTTTCCATCCTTTTTCTTTGTTTTCTAATGCTTTTTGTACGTATCTGTCTTTGTTTCCTTTTCTTTGTTTGATTTTGTTAAGTAATTCGTCCTCCGGTGTATTTACTGTATGTAAAGAGAATTGAATTTGTGAAATAAAAAACTCCGGCTTGAGCAAAACAACGTTTTCGTTATCTTTTTCCCCCTTCTCAAGGCCTATCATCCTTGACAAGGCATCAGCTTTCCCCATCGTCCTGCCTGGCTTCAAATCATCTGTATGTCATATTCCGCCAACTCTGTAACCCATCTCGCCTGTCTCCAATTCAACTTCTATGGTTTCCGGAAGTACTGAAGGTTTTGATGATCGGTAAAAACCTCCACCGTCTCCGTTGCTCCTAGAAGATACTGCCTCCAGTCATCAATCAAGTCCATGATAGCCATCATTTCCTTGTCGTAGATCTCGTAGTTGCGCTCTACTTCGTTCAGCGCGCGAGACCAAAAGGCTACTGGTCTCCATTTTCTGTCAACCAACTGGGAAAGAACTGCTCCGTTTGCATGCAGCTATCTACCCAAGTATGACTCGCCAGAAGACGAAGGAGAGGATGTAGAAGAGAAGCTGAAGGAGGGAGAGCGGTTGTTTTGGATGGACTGGGACAGCTATTGCAAAAGCAGTGAAAAGCTGAGATCACAACAGCCTTCATCCGCTGCTGCACCTTACATCGAGGAATTTTCCGATGTATTTAGCAAGGCGGACTTTGACAAGTTACCGGAGCGAAGACCCTGGGATCACGCGATAGAACTTACGCCTGGTTCCAAACCGGTTGACTGCAAGGTTTACCCCCTTAGCCCATCCAAGCAAAAGGCGTTAGATGAGTTTCTGGAAGAAAACATACGGACGGGACGTATACGGCCATCAATTTCACCTATGGCATCACCTTTTTTCTTTGTCAAAAAGAAGGACAGAAGTCTTCGGCCAGTACAAGATTATCGGAAGTTGAACGACATGACAATCAAGAACCAATACCCCTTGCCGTTGATCCAGGAGCTTATCGATAAGCTGAAGGGAGCGAAGGTTTTCACAAAGATGGATGTCCGATGGGGTTACAATAACATCCGGATCAAAGAAGGTGATGAGTGGAAAGCGGTGTTTAGAACAAACTGAGGCCTGTTCGAGCCCTCAGTCATGTTCTTTGGACTTACAAACTCGCCGGCAACGTTCCAATCGTTTATGAATCACATTCTGAAGGAGTTGATTGATGAAGGACATATTATAGTTTACTTAGACGACATACTTATTTTTACGAACACATTGGAAGAACATAGGCATATTGTACGACGAGTACTAGAGATACTGTAGCGTTTCAACCGTAACTTCACAGCCTGTGACCCATTATGGTCTGAAGTTACAGCGAACAGCTTCACAGACCCTTAAATTGCCTTTTTTGGACAGTTCCGCTTATAGCGGGACCTGAAATTTCCTTATTTGGAGGCTCGTGCCTGACCAAAGTGGTCTGTGACCCGTTATGATGTATATATAGCTTCACTTAGGATATTTGAAGGATGACGCATATGTCATGCGTCTTCTTGAGACCAATGTCAACGAGAAGATTATTGACCAGATCTATGGCAGCCGAGACGGGTTGCCAGAAGAATACAATGATTGGAAGAAGCAGATCATTCAGATCAATCAGTTATGGAGAAGGCGGATGGCGAGCAAAAGGCCCGGCATACAGTCCCGGCCCCAAGCTCCGCAGGTGGCTACATTGAGAGCCAATCCTACGAACCCACCCCCAATGCCAATTATGCGACAAGATGCCACTGGCGTTACCTATGGAGGAGCCGGCAGGCCGATGGACATTGACAACGCACGTTGAAGAGGACTTTGCTTCAGCTGTGGCGAACACAGCCACGTCAGCAGGTTCTGTCCAAAGAAGGGTCGACCCCAGACAATTTGGGGGCTATGGACCGAAATGAACAACGAGGAGAAGAAGAAGTTGGCCGAAGAGTTGGGTTTTGCGAAGCTCCCACAGTAGACGCAGTCCTGCCGGAGCAGTCATTAAGGGAAGAATCGTCAGATGCAGAATCTATTTATAGTACTGGTACTCAGGCATCTAAAATATCATCGACAATTTTACCACCAAAACCTGCGAAAGAAAGATACGAACCAAACACGCCT